ATATATATATATATATATATATATATATATATATATATATATATAAATTTATATATATATATATATTAGATAGAAAAAATTCGGACAGCAATTTAAATTCATGAAATAAATATATATATATATATATATATATATATATATATATATATATATATATATATATATATATTTGATTTTTATGAGGAACTATATATATATATATATATATATATATATATATATATATATATATATATATATATATATATATATATATATATATATATATATATATATATATATATATATATATATATATATATATATATATATATATATATATATATATATATATATATATATATATATATATATATATATATATATATATATATATATATATATATATATATAATTGTTCTCCAATTTTCATTAATATATTAATTAATAATTCAAATTAATATATTAATAAATTAATTTATCAATATACATGGAAATAATTATATATAACTCATATCATTGATTGATATAGATTATATCAATCATATTAATTTGGATTTATATTATTTCCTTTTGCAAATATAGTATATTTATGGACTTGGATGATTGAAAATTTAAATTTAATGAATTTGTTGTTTAATATATTATGAAATGTATATTTTTATTACTATAATACGAAAAAAAAAAGATAAGAAAATAGTGCGTATATTTCATATATTTTGATTTTTATTAAAATTCGGATATGCAGTTATTATTTAAATCATTTATATATACATATCTATATATATACACATATATATCATCAATATCATATCTATTATATATATAAAATTTACAAAATCGATTAAATTTAAATTTCATGATTTCATTTTTAATTAATGTTGATTTGTTTGACTTTATTAGTGATTTTAGGACTAAGTAATCGGTCCATGATTTAAGGAGTAAATAACATCAATACCTTAATCCATGATTTGGTTTAGCTCATTAATACACAAAATATATGTTTTCCTTAAAAAAAATTATTTACTTATTTAGGATGTAAAAGTTGAGTATAAATACCTTCAACCCCAACTCATTCATCTCATTCTTCTTCCACACATTTTGTTATAATCACACAAAATCACGGTTTTCACCCTAATATTTTGTTTTTTTGTCTTTATGTTTTGTAATTGTATACTTTTTTTCTAAGCATGTTATTTGTTGTCTATTGTTTATTATTACTTATATAAGAATCTAACTTATATTTTTTGTTTTTGTTTTTTAGATTCATGAATAACATCGTCTGTGTCATATATATGCGGCGACATTCGCAAGTGAAAAGTCATGCGACAATGTGTAGCATGCACGATATGATCCAAAATTATTGTATGGATTGATTTTCACAAATTTTTACTTCTACTATTCCATATTTTGATTATACTTGATATGATTGTAATTTTGGTTTCAATGAAGAAGAGGTTGAGGTTAATGAAATTGGATATGCAATAGAGACAAAATAATTTGTACATTTCTTGATTTGTAATACATTTCATTGCATATATTTGAATAAATTTTATTTTATATTTATAGTTCTTTTGTAGCGATATTAATTTGTTAGTCCATCAATTATTTTATAAAAAAGTTGGTTAAATACACTTTTATATTTTTCAATTAAATATTTCTCTAAACTTTGAAAGACCATCAATTATTAAAATCACAAAAAATATTAAACCACCAATTAAATAGCACCTTGACTTCAATAAATGTAAATAAATAGACACAAAATCAAAACACATTAATTCAAGAGTCAAAAAATACAAGATACACCGAGTTAAGTTTAATCTACTCTCAAAAAAATTAATTATAATATTTAATCATACAATAATACACACTCTACACAATATCTAAATTGTTATTCCAAAGAATTACAATTTAAAAAATAAAATAAAAAATCTTTTTAGTACAAATGTATCAAAAATCATAAAGCCATGCATAATACGTATCCTTATACGAAACCTTCAATCGAATGCAGATTAATCGAATATATATATACTTGACTTTTGCTTCTCGTCAAAGGCGACGAGTAAAAAAGAAAATCGAGGGCTCGTTTTTCCAGAGAGATATAACAGTAATCACTTCTTTTGGAGAGTGACCATGCCAATAAAAGCTACAGCGCGGAAAGCTAAGCCGGTGAGAAGAAGAAACGATAATCGAAGAGCCCAATTATGAACGTTGTAACCGAATCTCAATAGTGCTCCGCATCTTGTTAGGAGCCACACTCCATAGTACCTTTAATCGAGACGTTTTGTTAATCGATCGTTAAATAAAATTTTAAATATTGCTCGTGAAAAAAAAAGAATATACCTTTCGGAGTTTCCAATAACAAACGCTTCTAAAGCCCACTTTGGGTAACAAAAGTTCGACAAATCTTTCACAAAGCTGCTCGTGTGATTCTGAGTCGAAACGAGTGTGAGCACCACGGGAAGTAGAACCGAGAACTGCATGCAAGCAATAGTTATAAAAAAACGTTATTACATCTATGGGCAAATTACGGCCACCCCTGAGTTATGGTCAAATTACGAAAACCCCCCTCCTATTTGGGTAATCATCCACCACCCTCAACTATGTATTATCTTACGAAAAGACCCCTCCGGAGGTAAATTTAGGAATGTTAATTCGGTAAACCGAACCGAGATTTCGGTACGCCAACATTTCATACCGTTTACCGAACTAAATATATGATTTGGTTCGGTAAATATTTAAAAGGAGGGGGGTGGCCGTAATTACCCAAACAAGAGGGATTTTTTCGTAATTTGGCCATACCTCAAGGGGTGGCCGTAATTTGCCCTTACATCTATATATACATACATGCATATACACAATCATCATATATATATATATATATATAGACACTCAAAATTACGTAATTACCAGCTGAGAAGGACCAGGATCGAGGAAGATGGCGAGTGCATAAGCAATACCGGTAACACAGTAAACGAGGCACAACAAGACAGCATAGTTATACGCGAACGAAGATTTCGGATTGCTGAAGAAATAAAACATGGATAGATACACAACCGGCTTTATAATGATGTTGAATAAGTCAACCGTGTCTTTCGACACAAAGTGGGCCAGGCTGCTAATTCCCGAAGCACTCTCTCTCCAGTACTGTAACTTGTCCAGAGAAAACGACCTCAAAGCCGCAATCTTGCACAGCAGAGCTGTCAACGAAATCCGTACCGAAATTAATTATTCATCTTCCAGTTTATTATTAGTAAAAAAAAAAAGTTGAAATATTTTACGAAACTTACAGACGGCGATTATCGTATACGTATAAGCACCGTAACCGAAGTTTTGATCGCTCGCTTTGGTGAGTGATCCCAAACAGGCGCCAGCGATTAAAAGAATGAGATAATCCATTGCTTGTGTTTTCGCTTCTCGCATTCGTTGCTTACCAACCCTGAAATTATTTTAGATAGAAAAAATTCGGACAGCAATTTAAATTCTTGAAATAAAACAACATTATATAAAGATCTGATTTTTATGTAGTAGGATGCATCGATGTTTTTAACGATTTGATTTTTATGAGGAACTATATATATATATATATATATATATATATATATATATATATATATATATATAACAACTGTCTAAGTACGTGGATAAAAACCTTAAACGGCACATATTACAAGACAAAGAAAGTACCTTCCAAGAAAATATTTGTACTGCAAGAAAACGTTGGGAGTTCTTCGATAAGACAAATCAGTCGGCCTGAGAAAATTATGCCGTATCCGATCGCGTTTCTTCTCCACGTTCGCTTTAACATCTTGCCAAACTTCTCCAGCAAACGATTTTTCCTCGGCCGCAGAATCAGAAAAAACACGATCGTCGGCATTTTCATTATCGATATTAACTGTAGGCGTAAGAGATTCTTCGGTGTTAATTCTCATATCGTGTGGAATAGGATAGCCGTTATGCATCATCCACCTAACCGGAAGTTCTGCATAGCTCACACCTGAGCTCGAGCTTGTCTTAATCATTCCCTCCAAAATATCGATAAAATAATCGGGAGGGTTGACTCGGTCAGGGACGTTTATGCCGAGACTTGTGAAGTACTCTTCGACTTTTTTTGCGGGCCCGTGGTAGACTGTTAAGCCTCCTTTTGCTAGAAGTATCAAATCGTCAAACATTTGGAACAATGCATAGCTGCCAAAAAGAAAGCAAATCTCGTGATTTGATATAGCAATTAATTTAATGTACATCGATAGGGGTGCAAATCGGACAAAATGGCACTTCTCAAAATCGAATCAGGAATCAGAATCTCCATCTCCATTTCCATTTCATCTCCATCTCCATTTCCAAAAAATCGAAAAATCAGAAATCGGAATTTTTGGAATTTGGAATAAAATATATTGTTCCAAAATCGGAAATTTTCGAATCTGAATCGGCGGAATCCGGATATTCAGTTTTTTTAGTCAGCTATAATATAGAATACATAATATTGATATTTTAAGTGTAATTTTCAGAAAATAATTGAAATTTTGGAAATCGAATCTAAAATGTATTCCAATTCCACTTAAAAAAGTTGCAAAAATCAGAAATCGGACCTTTTGGAATTCGGGATAAAATATATTGTTCCCAAATCGAAAATTTTCGGATCAGAATCAGCAGAATTCGGAAATTCCGTCCATTCCAATTTCCAGTCAATAGATTTTGCTCATATCGCATTTCTTTTTTCTTACATAAAAAAAAAATAAAAAAAAATTATCGAATTTATATTACCTCGGTTGATGGACAACCATGCATATATTTACACCTTCGAGAGCTTCTCTTCTAAGCGATCTAAGAAGTAGCTGCGAAGACGAGCTGTCCAAACCCGACGTAGGTTCGTCTAAGAACAACAATGAAGGTTCCATAACTAACTCGATTCCAACATTCACTCGTTTCCTTTGTCCGCCAGAAATGCCTCTCTTCTCAACTGTTCCAACTACCGAACCTCGTATCGTCTGTAACCCTAATGAGTCGATCACCCTTTCGACTACAAGAACCTTGTCCGGTTTCGGTAAATCTGCAGATAGTCTTCAAAATTTTAAACGTAAATGCATTTTTGAAATGGAATTTAAATGATTTTTTTTTAATTGCGAAAATGCGAAAAAGTTCAAAAATCGGACTTCAATTTATATTAAGAATCGCATACCTGCACCTAGCACTAAACCATAAATTCTCCTCCACGGTTAAGTTCCCATGCACGATATCGTCTTGCGGAACAAAACCGATGATTTTTCTGTACGAGTGAATCGAAACCGATTTCCCGTTAATTAAAATAGTGCCGTTCACTGTGCATCCGACGGCTTTTCCAGCTATAGCAGAAAGAAAAGTCGTTTTTCCAGCACCAGACGGGCCCATAATAGCCGTGATTCGGCCCGGTTTTATTTTCCCATTAACGGACCTCAAAATGTTCCTACGCTTGCCTTTTAAAGTGACGGTTAAGTCCCGGAAATCGATTTCGATCAGAGGCCTTTTCTTAGTGTCTTTATCGGTAGCCATTGAAATTACGCCGGAGTATTTCAAGAGTTGTATTTCAGGAAATATGAAGATACACTTTAACTAACATCATTTATATATTATATGCATGCGCATGTTTTTTGTTGACTCATACATGTACATTTAGTGTGCGTTCATATTTATTTTTAGTGAATAGTGCTTTTCGATGGGATATTCGATTATTCTCTTTTTGGACAAGGTAATTCTATGCACACATTTTATATATATATATATATATATATATATATATATATATATATATATATATATATATATATATATATATATATATATATATATATTTGTTTTCTTCAGATAACGCGTTGAACTTATATATTCACACTAATAAATAACTACATCTTATTCATCCAAAAATGGTTGATTTGGCAGTAGTTTCCTATGTTACTGTATCAAAATTCAGATTAATGCGTAAGAGTGGTGTTCTGAATCAATCTCCACTCATGGAGTTGCTTGTGGCATTTAGTTTGATCGACCAACGTTGTGAGTTTCTATTTATGTGGATTTTTTGTGATAAAATGAAATGCAATTGTTTTATTTATTGTTGGATCATTTTAAATTTAAATCTTCGATATTTTTCAATTCTTTGATTTTTAAAATTAATACAATTACTTGATCTTCGAATTAATCCCTGTTTCCAGTCATGGTCAATTGTACGTAGCGTTGTCTCGAGTGAAGAGTATATATATAATCTTTATCTATGTAATGCCTTTGATTTATATATTGACAATGATGAAAAATAACAGGTTATTCGTCCTCTGGTCGTAGATCTGATTGTAGTTCCATGGTCTTATTTAACAACATTCGGATTAATGTGCAAGACTGGTGCATTACTTTGATTTCAGTATCGCAGTTACTTCCTCATTTCAACGTGGATGGTGCTTAAAACATTGTCCGCTTATTTTTTATGGAGACTTTTGATTGATAAATTAAGATACGAATTTGTTATTTATTGTTCAATTGCATTCTTTACATTCTCGACATATTTTTTATTCGTTGGTTTTCTACATTAACTCATTCTAAGTTTTTGAGTGAATCCTCCGTGCATCGCACGGGTGAGTTACTAGTTTCATACAAAATAGGGAAAATTAGAGAAAACCCCCAATCTAGGAAAATAAGTTAAGGAAACACCCCCTCCCAAAAATAATTAGAGAAAACGCCATTAGCTAATATTCCACCCAAGTGATATTTTCATAATTCCAAAACTACCCTTAATTCAAAACTCTAATCTTATTTTCTCTTCTCCCGTCTCTTCTCTCCTGTCTCTTCTCTGTTTTTTTTCCCTCTCTATTATATTTTTTTTTCTCTCAATTCTTTAGGTTATTCTCTCTTGATCGAAAGATAATGAACCAACCACCAACATCACCGCCCGAACAACGATGCCAATTCCGTTGAAGCCATCATCGTTGTTGTTGTCTCCATCGGCGTTGCTGTCGGGGTCGTCGTCGTTGCAGATCTTAACAAAAGCCATAAAGATGATGATGATTTTGATAGCGATTCTGAGTTCGAATGCCACGATTGCTACATCAGTGGCGAGAAGAGGTAGGATTGTCGATTTGTCGTCGGAATCGGATTTTGATGGGTGGTGGTTCTCCTTTGGTTGGTGGTGCTGTTAGAGTAGGTGACCAACAAGCCAACATGTGGCTGTGGTTTTTCGTATTTATTATTGTAATAAACGAACCTTTATTCGTATTAATGATAAAACACCTTGGCATTCTATATCTTTGTCCCTTTGTCACAAGCATAGATATAGTCCTTACAGTTGTTACAAGTACTAGTAATTGATCGCTAGGATCGTGAGATATTTACTTAAGTATTATAACTGTTAAACGTGTTCCTAGTCGAAGGGTTACGCCACTAATGAGGATATCGGCCTTTCCCATTAAGACTAGCACTTAGTGTATGTGTACTGCATCTCATCAGTAAACGGTATTGTGATATCGGCATGCATAAGTGGGTGCTCGTAAGTTGACGAGTTCACTGAACTCCCTCACCCTAGAAATCTCTAAGTGGTTCCCAATAATCGAGTAGAGATATCTATGGTATAGTTGTACACCATTAGTCCTTATGACCTAGACATCACCGTGACTTCACTAGAGGACCAGCTGTATCGTGACCTGTCCCTGAGTTCCACCGAGGACCATCCCAAGGGCCAGTGTTCGTGCAGTCCGAAATCTAGTGGGAGGTCTGTGCATTGTAGTCGGGGATTCGATCGCTAGAATAGTCTTGGATGTCCTGTGTGTTCTAAAAGTTTGTAATCATTCTAAGTCTCTGGCCAGAGCTGACTAAGTGATGATTAGAGAATTCGATTCTTTAAGTCATGCACGTAAGGATTACAACACTTAGAACGATCGCACCGTTATTGAACATATAAAGAGGTCTCGATGAACCAATGCCTCTAGTTCGATCGGGACATATGAATCGAAGGGACCGTACTGTACGTTAACTATATCTGAAGGTTCTTGCAGGCACTTCATTTGTATCTAGGGAATCATGACGCGTAGTTGCTAGACGCCAATCTTGATTCGTTGGGTGATTAAGGTGAAACGAGCTTCATCTTAATCGTAACTCTAAGGGACGAGTTTTGACCACAAAGAGTTGTGGGCCCACGGCTAGCTTACACCTGAACCATCGAGGGTCACACTGCTCGTGCACATGAGATCTTTGAATAAACGGTCAGAGATAAAATAGTTTATCTTTGCATAATTGGAAGTCAATATGATTGAGTCCAACATTCGTAATTTGGAATTATGAATGAGAATAAGAAAAGGAAAAGAATAAGCGAACGTGTTAGTGAACTTTCTAAATCGGGAAGTTTCCAAATTTAGAAAGTCCACTGAACTAGGGTTTCCACTTTTGGAAAGTTGGAAAATAAGAGATGGCACTCGTAATGACGAGAAAATTATAATGACTCGGAAAATGTAATCGTTACAATTTTTCGATCATTGAATTGAGAGATACGAGCGATTAAAGAAACTAACGAGCTTAAGCTGTTGGGCCCAGTCCAACTTAAGCCCGCTAGGGTTTCATGCAAGGGACTATAAATACATGATTTATAACCCTAGCACACATAACAAAAACCCAAACCCTAAGCGGCCGACCTCTCTCTCTCTCGCCCCTCTCCCGCGCGGCCACCTCCGCCGTTGGCGTCGCTCCGTCGCCGGAAAACGGCCGTTCGTCGGCCGTTCTTGTTCGGTATCCTTTCTCCTTCATTATTCTTTCCGTTTTATTCTAACTATTTCGTGTCTAGTGCCACGATTTAGTAGATCGAAGTATACGAGGTGAAATCCGAGAGGAGGAAGACCGTAGATCGAAGAATCGAGGAGCAACGCACGAGCCGAAGCTGCACGCTGCCCCACGCGCCGCCCCGGAAGACCGCGCGTGCTCTACACGCGCCGCCGTGAGCTGCCACACCGCCGCTGCTGCTGCTCCATTGCTGCCCCGATTCTACGGATTGGTTTCCGTAGTAATCACGACGTATCGTTCACTCCTACCTCACGCGTCAAGAGGTAAATACTCGAAACCCTAGTTTCGTTTTAGGGTTTAAATTTAAACTATGATTTCATGCTTATGTTTGTATGATTTTATGTGATTATGTGTAATCGATTAAATCGTTGCAAGCATGTTATTTGGTTTAAATGCGAGCATGTTAATTGATTTAAATTCGGTTAAATTTATTAGCATGTATGTTGTTTTTAATTTCGCTGGAAGCGCAAAGGTACGCAATTAATTGATTTAATTTATCGGGCATGTACTTGTGTGTTTTAAAGTCGTTTAAATCACGTAAAATTTTTTGTTTTCCGCTGCGTATACGTGCCCGAAACCCAACAGGTGCGAGTTGTGATTTTATGTATTTATTTGTAATAAAAAAAAACTGTCATAATATCAAAGTAAGGTGGTGATGGTGTGTTGTGGAGGTGGTGTGGTGACGATTGGGAGGAAGATTTAGGGTTTTTTGGTGGATTGAGCGGATGACGGCGCGTGTAGAGAATTTCGCGCAGGCTGAAACCTTAATCGACTATGTACATGTTCATAGTCGATTAAGCTAAATCGACTATACTCTGGTAGTCGATTAAGGTTCATCGACTCCAATTTTTTTTAATTTTTTTTTGAATTTTTTGTTTATTGATTCCAATTGTATAAATCATTTATAATGTTTGTATATTTTTTTTTGTAATAGATGATTTTACATTTTTCGCAGTTGTGATTTGTTATTTTTAGTAGCAGATTCTTTATCGACTAGGCTTCACATCATAGTCGATTAATATGTTTCATTGACTCCAATTTGTTTTTCTTTTTTGGATTTTTTGTTTATTGATTCCAATTGTATAAAAGTAGTGTTTGTCGTATTATGTAATTGGGAGTTTTCGTAAGTTTAAAATATTTTTGAAATATTGTTTAGAATTTTTCCAGCTTTAAAATTGTTTAAAATTGGAAAATCGGATCTGAAATTGTTTTAAAAATGTCGGTTTTTAAATTGTTCTGATCGAACCGGCCGAACCGGCCAGTTCGATGGTTATGTGCGTTTTGGTTGACCGAATCCAAGTGGATTCGGGTCGGTCAGACCGGTTCTCGGTCCGACTGACCCGGCCCACTGATTTTGGTCAGCTGGACCGGACAGAACTGGCCCGATTCGGTCCGAACCGGTCAGACCGGTTGGGCCGAACCGGTCCACTGAAAAATTAAAAAAATAAAAAAAAATTTTATTTCAGATTTCTAAAATTAAACTTAAAACAAATTGATTTTAATTTTTGGAAAATTATTTTCAATTAATCCCAATTAGATAATTGGATCGACAATCATCTATTTTAGTAAATAGGTGTTAGATTAATTAATTAATTTAAATTGTTAAATTGATTTCAATTAATAGAACACATATATAATATTGATTATTGTTCAACTTAATTACTAGTACCTCAACGTTATTTGAATGATTTATGTTAGTTGAGGTTCTATAATTATTTTGAAAACCCGATAATTAATTAATGTAATTAATTATATAGTTAGGTCGTATGTTCCTCTTAGGACAATATGCGCTTCCATATACCTTTAGAGAACATAGATGTAGGAATCACATAGACCAATCCAAACCTTCTGATGAGATAAAACTTTTAATAAAATCCCTCATTCTTAATTCAATTGAGAATCATTTCAAGCTATAAAGAAATACCCAATCTGTTGAGTTATTTCTTTCCTTCTGCCAACGGTTGGATTATGTGTAGCCCTTTGCTATAGTGCAGTAAGCCGTGTTAGCGGGGAGTGCTATGGTAGAGTAAACTGTAATTCAATTGACATAATGATGAAGGTAGCCATAGAAAAGGGTTATGTTGAATTAACGTGGTCGGCTAGATTAACTAGGGACTGCATTAGTTTGGCATAATCGAGTTCTATGAGCATCTTTGATTGGTAGGTTAGACTTGACACACGACGATTTTGATATTCGCGAGATTAACTTAGGTCATTATCAAGTGTGAGGAAAATTAATTTAGGGTCATATTGTGGATATGATTGATTGTGATCTACCTTTGGGCAAATATAATCGGGCTAGATTAACTACGGGTTATATTTGTCTATTGGACCTAAAGCCCATTAAGAAAAATCAGTTTTCTCGTTTGTCTACTAGAGGGAAGTGGAACTCGATAAAATTAGTGGGAGAACAATTAAATAACACAAGTCCAAACATTTAATTGTAACAATCATTTAACGCGAATCTCTAATAATCCTCTTCTCTATATGTCTCAGATAACTATGTCTAAGAATCCCATAATGTCAATCCTCGACAATAAACTCAATGGCCCTAATTACCTAGATTGGTTGCGTAGTCTTAAGCTTGTGCTAACTGTTGAGGGGCGTCTCTACGTTTTGAACGAGAGGCTTCCCGCCACTATACCTGCCACAGCGACTGATGCTGAAAAGGAAACTTATGAAGTTTGGAAGAAAGATGACACCCATGCTAGGTGCTATATGATAGCCGCCATGGAGCCCGCGCTTGCGAGGAAATATGAGTCTCACTTGCATGCTTTCGATATAAAGGCTCATCTCGATAGCATGTATAGTGAGAATATTAGGGCATCGAGGTACGCTGCTACAAAGGAGTTGATCACAGCGAGACTGCGCGAAGGGACTTCGGTCCACGAGCACTGTCTCAAAATGATCACTCTCCTTGAAAAGCTAGTGAATCTTGATGTCACCCTCCCGGCCGAGCTCTCGTTGGATTTGATCCTGTTGTCTCTTCCTAGTTCCTATGAATCGTTCATAGTGAACTTCAACATGAACAAACTAGATCCTCCCTTGGATGAGTTAATGAACATGTTGGTCAGCTTCGAGTCCACCATTAAGAAAGAGAAGTCTGTTCTCGTTGCTGCTACTTCTGGAAAGAAGAGTTCTTTCCAAAAGAAGAGAAAGGAAAGAGTTCTTTTTCCTAACAGCAAGTTCGAAGTGGGTGAAGGTAGTGGGGGCCCCAAAGCAAAG